TCAGGCTCGTATGCTTCGAATATCAAAGGGATGCTCATCCATATGCTTCAGCATGTACCTACCGGAAATCCGCAGCTACAATTTAGACGCATATGCTCAATCCTGCTCAGTGTTCGCGTCACAATTGAACAATCATCCTGTGTTGTATCGCGCTATAAGTCGGCAGCCACGTTCACCTTGCCGACGTCACGGTGGACGGTGGCTGTAACAAAGCTTTTGGATTGTTGGTGGGGAGGAATGGGAGGGGTGCTTGGAGAGATGCCGCAATGTGGCCTCTGGACTGCACGCTCCCCTCAGACGGGGAAACGCGATTTGAACCAGCCTTGCCGTTGCGAACACGAAAAAGAGGGTGATGGATGCCGAGCGGTCGCATCTGTGGATATGCGCGAGGCAAGCATGTCCTCGATCCGTGCGCATACATTTCCGTGATGGGCACGGACCTCTTCTTTAAAGAACATTTACGGCGCCACTCGTGATGCGAACTCCATTAGTCATGGCAAGGGTCTGTTCTCCAACATGTGTTGACATGCATCGCGACGGGATCACTGCACGCACGATGTCTGAGGAGTTACGTTCGCCCAGCCCGCGCGAGTTTAAGTCCCTTCCTTCCACCGCGACGACACTTCGGACGGATAGCTCTCCTTGCCCAGCGCCGATCACGATGACCGCACAAGGGGCCTGCGTCCCCATTCAGTGAGGACTCCGCACCGACTGCATCACAAGGATGCCAATTGAGTCGCGCGACGCTCGCGCGATCGATGCAGGGTTTCGATGAAGGCGAAGTTTTGGGTGCCCCGCTCCCAGGATCGCTCTCCTGGGCAACGCATCCGAGGGAGAATCTTCGATCCTGCACTGGCTGTGGTGGCAGCAGAGTCCGGCGGGTCGTCCCCCGTGCTACCCAGTTTCCGTCTCCTCTTTGCGATATTCGGTAAGGTGGAGGAGATTGGGCCCCAACTATTCCAATCCCATGATGAGGACCGCCGGGGCGTGTCTTCCTCCTGCTGCGGTTCGAGGCCAGACTTGTGTTTTGCGTTTACGTTTACGTTTTTACATGTAAAACGTAAATTTGCGAAAGGTCCTCTTTTTGGTGCTATTTTTATGTTTATGCGGCAGCCTGGGACACCCAGGTCACACGATGAAAGTGGCGTACAATGATCGTTCTTCCGCCATCTCCAGCACCCGCAACACAATGTCCACATCGGCCTTGGCAAGGGCGCCGATCGCGTGTAACAAAAGCTCGCTTCCTGCCCCTTCCAGGGCACCTGGATGCCACTGCCTGGACTTCACAAGTCTGTATGTCCTTATGTACACGGGGCCGCATTTATCTTGCATTTACGCATTTTTACGAATTTTGCCGCTTAAAAACGTAAAAATTGTTTCACGCCTAAAACCGCAAAACTTATTTTTACGCGTTAAATCGTAAATATGATCAAATTTTACGGTGTAGAAATCAAGCCTGGTTATGGCATATCTTGTGCGACGGAAATATGTGAAAACAGAGCCTGCAGAAGAAGCAGATCTTCTGTGGCCGTGGCCGTGTGGAATGGAGGCAGTTTCCATGTGACTTCCACTGCAGCTTGCGGAATAGCTCGCGACAGGCAGTGACAGAAGTTTCAAGGGCCGGATCCGCGGCATTGCTGCTGCTCGATGACATGCACGACCCCTTCGCCACGACCCCTGCCTCGCGTGAGGTCTTTCATGAACAGCACGTTCCCATCGATCGACTCATGATGGTGGACGTTGGGAAGGGTGGAGGCTGGCGCAGAAAAGCTAAAGTACGCAGGAACTTTGTTCGTCACAAGATCGTTGGCGTATGCTTTGCCTATTTCATCACAAATTGAATCTGTTTATACATATACAGCTGGAATTTCAACCTGAGTCCGGCACATTTTGAGTCCAAGAGTAGGCGGAAGGCAGCCAACCAGAATTTCAGCCAACCTGGATTAATTTGCATTATGTAATCAATGCCGGCAAACTGGGAGCTGAGTCGCCTTGAGGAAAGACACACATTTCTCAGCACGTCAATTTACTGCAAGGATAGAATTAAGTGTAACGCAGACAATGATACCATGGAACTCGACGCTCAAAAAGCAAGGGGTCATCGAAAGGCAAGCGTGACGAAAACGAGTTCTAATTAGAGCTTTAGAAAGCGCGGTGATTGTCGGATCATTTGATTTCATTTTAATGGAGGTCATGTGCTCTCCAAAAAAGGATGTTGTCATTTTATCTGTGCTTGATATCACACACAACGTGCATAAAACATGCAGTTAATTGAAGCGCCTTGATGCAGATTCCTTGGAACAAAACAGGCGAAAGTGCTGGACCAATTTCCAACACTTTCTTGCATTAATCCTTCCACTGTATGCGGATGTTTTGCAAGCAAAGCAACGTGAGTTATGTAAACATCGACATGTCTGAAGTGCCGCGCATAGAGCCACTACTGGCCCTGATGGAATCCAGAGTGGCCTCCCGTCCATCACATATAGGATCAAAGACATTAACACCGGTCCCTTGCGCCCTTCTGCAATGCGGGATGGCGAATGCTTGCGCAAAGAGCTTCCAACAGGGCGTCTACCAATTCCGGATTTCGAGGGGCGCCACCTGAGCTGGCACAACGCCGTCGATGTCTGGAAGGAATCCAGGCAATTCAGAACCCAAATTTTGCATGTGATGCGGCAGGCGCGACATCAGGCGTATTTCTGTGTAACCATCCGGTTCAGAAGGTCGACCTCCATTCCGATGTGGAGCAGTGTAGGGGCAATGTTAAATCATCTAGCCAGGTGCGAGCTGCACGGGTCGTTTTCAGTCTTCCCAAATTTGGGCGGCGATGGGGCGCTGGTGGGGCCATGCCAGCTTGAATGTGAATCCCATTATCTTCACAGATCCAAGTTCGTTGTTGTAGGAGCTCCCAACACAAAAATGTTGGAATTGTGGGCAACGCTTGCCAATGCTATGGGAAATAGATTGGAGAACATTGTCGGAAACCCATGTGGGTAAGTGCCTGTGGTCTGAGCGTATCCAGATGACACAAACTGCACCCCAACCTGGACGCCGTCCCCCTCCCCCTTCCCCTTCCCCGCCCCTTTCCCAATCTTTGCGGTGTGCAAAACACATTGAGCACCCTCCCAGTGGGAGGCCCCCACAGGGCCATTCACCGCCTCAAAAAACGTTTGGTGCCAACAAACAGAGTCATGCACACTGAGAAGGCCCCACCAAGGCGCACCTGGGCGAGGTTGCTTGCATGCTTGGTCTTTACGTTTTTGCGTTTACGTTTTTGAGCGCAAAAACGTAGACACAGGAAAGCCGTGGTTGTTGCGGCTATATTTACGTACATTAACGGGTCGTTGGGACATCCAAGTTGCTTGTTCAAGTCGCAAACAATGACCAGTCCACCGCCCCCTCGGGCGTCAGCAGCACAGCGTTCACCTCGCCCGTGGCAAGAGCAACAACGTCGCCAAACAAAAAGTTGTTTTCTGGCCACTTCAAGGCGTCTGGCCGCGGTTCCCCGGACTCCCTGGAGTTTGTGTGTACTGTCTTATCGTACAAGGGTACTGTACTTACGTATTTTGACGCAATTTTATGCGTAACAATGTCAAACGATTTGTACGCGTAAATGCACAGTGTTTACGCCATGAAGACAAGCGTGGTTGCTAGTATTAAGGCGCATTGCAGCAACGCTGCCAGCATCCCTTGCTGGACAACTTTACGTCAAGGCGGACACCCCGTCGATCCATCATCACCACCAAGTTTCAAGGGCCCTGCTTTACCTTCTGATGGGAAAGGCATTCGATTCGCCCATTCCTTGGCGAATATTACCAATCTTTGCCAATTTGAGCAATTTGCTTTTGGATTAACATTAATTTTGCCAAATCAATGCCATTTTCGTTTCCGTTAACTTTTCAACAATTAGTTTTAACAAGGGAAATTCGCCCACTCGTAACTGGCTTCCACGCCTCGGGGCCCCATGACGAACACTTGTGCCCGAATGAGTGCACGAACGCCCAGCCATTCGCGACTTCACCACTAACTTCTGGCGCTACCACATTTGCTTCCTCACGAGTCATGAGTCATGAACCATGACAGATGCAACCAAAGAACTTTGGCGATGATGACGTCAGCTTCGCCAAAGAGTTGCCCCGTTTCGCCACCGCTGCGCCCGCACTGCCGCCAGGAGACTGCCAGTCGCCAGTCCACCGAAAGGGCTTTTGCCAGTCCAGCGGGGCGCCACACCGCGATTGGCGACATACATTACACCTCGGCTATTTCAGCTCCCATTGATGGGAGAGGCACGACGATCGAATGAACGACTGAAAGCAAAACCGACCACGCTGCGAACCGATTGGATGTCTATACAGCCGTCACTGGCTGCCTGGCAGGCGCAAGAGCATTCTTTGTCAACATCTGGGGCCCGCGGATCTTCACGTCTGGTTCTTGGGGAGCCGGGAAGCTGGCGGCCCCGAATGCAAGGCGACACCATCCGTGCTGCCAGAAACCTTTTCAGTATCGACTTGTCGCATTTGTACGTTAGCGCCCCCTCGTTACAACCCTAACACCAGTTCGAGCAAAGTTCTGGACGCGTGCACCGCCGCCGCGTGCGCCATTCACCTCCCGACCCCCAGTACTATTTTGATGCAATGAGTGATTGATCCATGGGGCTGAAAATGGTACTGACCATCGCGTTTGCCCGCGAGCGCGTTCGCCGTGGGGGAAGCCGCAAAATATCATTCAAGCGTGGGGTTGCATTGGGAAACATTCTATTGCCGTACAGGAGGACACTGAAAAAGAAACCTAAAGTCTGGTGGACGCCTCCCTCGCATCTCGCCGTGCCGCAGGACATGAAAAACGAACGCGGAGCTTAAGGCCGCCATCCGTACATGCAAGAATTCTTGAAGATGATGGTGCTGTCGTGCAATTCTCAATGACGACACCTAATTAGAGGCCAGCGGCGGGCGGGCAACCCGCAGGGCCCTTTCACTACAGATTCGTACCCCACCTTGCAGGATTGCCCCCTGACGCTGTACATCCACGCGGCGGGCCCCCGTTTATCGCGGCCCACAGCGGTTTGCCGCCCCGGTCCCTTTTGTGGTTTCCTCTTCTTCTTTCCCTTCTGGCAGCGTGGAGACTTGTTGGGCCGGCTGCGAGCGCGAGTGGAGGATCCTGGCGGCGCGGCGAGCGGATTTGGCGACTGGCAGATCGAGATCCCGATCGATCGACAGCGGAGGTGCTCAGCGGGGGGGCAAGGGGTACGGCAGGGGCACGTGGGGCGGGCGGGGGGTTGATGGCGCTGGGCGTGGCCCGGTGGTGAAGGCGTGCTTGTGTTTGCGTGTGTGAGATCTGTTGTGAAGGGGAAGAGGAACGTGTCGTGCAGAGGGCGCACGCTTCTGAGCTTGTGCGTGCGCAAGTTTTCTTCTGTGGTGTGGGGGGATGATGCGGAGCCTCCGGTGCGGGAAGCGGAAGGAGCAAAACAGGGGGGAAGGGGGCAAGTGAATCCGGGCGGCGTTCGCTGGGGATGGGGGAGATCGGTCGCGGATGGCGGGGCGCGGATCGGTGCCGGGGGTGTTGGCCGATCGACGGCCGCGGAGAGTCGGGGACGACCGGCGGAGGGGGGCGTGGGTCGGTTGGGCAGCGGAGGCGGCCAATCGGCGCAATTTGGGGTTTTGAGGGTGCGAACGGGCGGTGGGATCGTGGGTTGGTCGGATCTGTGCGTGTTCATGGGATCGGCGGACGCGTATGGTGTGATCGGCCGGGGACGCGCGGGCTGGGGGCGACGCGACGGCCCGCCTGCCCCGGCCTGTTGTTCGGCGGCCACGGGACGGGCCTGGGCGCGTCCGTCAAGCCGTCGGCGAGCCATCGGCAAACTCACGGAGATGAACGCGAGCCGCGCAGGCGGGGCCCTGGTCCCTGGGTCAGCCGATGCCCGACCCCAGGTTCTCGCGAGGTTCTCTGGATGATGGACGCCGGCGGCCGGGGTGGGATTTGTCCTCTGCGCGCGTCTGGGCGGGCGGCGGGTGTGTGGGCTTTCGAGGGGGCGGGAGCGGGGCGTCGAGTGGCGCGATCGCGCTAGGTGGTCGCCGTTGATGTCGATGTTTTCCGCCGAGCGCCTGCACCAAAAAGTGCTCCCCTCCCCCCCTCCCGTTTCCCAATTCCTGAATTTGCATCGGCAACCTCGAGACCCGTTTTGCGAACGGGGCCACCCTTTTGCACCCGAGCCAACTGAAGGATCGGCGTGCGGCTGGCGCAGGGAGGAGGAGGTTCGGATGAACGGCGGTGCGCCGGAGGGCGAAAAGCAGATGGCGGGGATCGCCACGGACGTCGCCGGGCCTGGCCATGATCGGCAAGAGGCGGAGGAGGAGGGGCAGGAGGACGGGACCTCCGAGTCGGGTGGCCAGGACGAGGGCAGCCCTCCCGACATCTTCGTGTGCCCCATCTCGAGGGAGATAATGCGCGACCCGGTGAGGACGGATGCCCCCCACGGCCACGGAGGGGTTGGGCCGATTGACACACGCCCGTGGCTTGCCGAGCCAGTGAGCACGAGGCGGGAGCAAGGGACCAGGGTGCTCATCTGCCGATTCTGCTGTCTTTCCGATCTCCTCGTTGACGGGTTGTAAGGCCGTCGCTATTGCAGCGACGCGGAGAACGACAAATTGGCAATGACGTGTGTCTACTGAGTTCGGGGCATTGGACCTCGCCTGCTTTGTGGCCATCTGCAAGCACCACGCGATGTTCTGGCAAGGGAAAACGCCCCAATTCCCCCCTTTGTTGAGAGTCGTTGTTCATGGAAAGGTGAGGGGGATCTTGGTGTTGGGCCACCAAGATGTTTGCCAAGAATTTTGTGGGCGGAGCAGCAAAGATGAAGATTAGCTTTCAAGCAGAAAGTAAAACTGCGCCCCACAAAGCATCCCCCACAATCTGGGTGGCTTGAATCTTGCTGGAATTTGTCTTGTCTCAGTCGTCTCTGTTTCTGCATTGCGGAATGTGCTGCTGATGGATCTGGGTCTTGGCTGCTGCAGGTGGTGCTTGTGGAAACAGGCCAGGTCTACGATCGGCACTCAATAGCGGAGTGGTTCAGAATGAATCACAGCACCTGTCCACTCACTGGTGGGTGGGCAGTTCATGCAGGCAGTGGCAGTTGGCAAACAGACCCAGCTGGGCGATAACTGAAACGATGGTTTGCTCTCAGCCGGCATCCCCATGGTGGACGAAGTGCTATTGATGATAAGAATGCTGCACTTGAACTGTTTTTGGCAATCACATTGTGTGAAAACATCAGTTCAGAATTTTCTCTGTTTCAGATCGTGCTGTGTGTAACTGCACTGTCACCTTTTCACCGCTGGCAAAGTGTGATTTGAATCTGAGGAAGTTGGTGCACAAAAGCTTGAAGCACACAGAATCCAATGGCCTTTACCTTGGCTGGTAGCCTCCTCCACACATTGAAAACCCCCCAAGTCCCACGCCATTCTGCTCCGGGCCTGAGCCACATAGCTTTCGTCCTTGCAGACCATGCAATTATCATGTGCGGGTTTACAATAAGTTCATACCCGGTCTTTGCCTCTACGATACGATGTGACCTTGAGGGCAGGAACATCGTACACATGTGGGTGTCCTACATTCCTAAAATGCGCTGCAATTGGAAGTCCTCTGACTCGTTTGATTAGCTGCTCCTGGCAACAACTCCCTCAGGTCTCATTCTGACGTGCTTTTGGTGCTCGCTGCCAGCATTACACTTTTGCATGGAGTTCAGCACCTTTCATTAGCTGCCTTTCCACTTTCCCAATGAGTGCCTTTACTGCTTTGCACTGCTCTTTCAGTGCCTGAGGCAGCTGCACCACCTTTCACAGCACCGATGAGCTTAAAATACATGCTTGTGCCTGGCCCTGTTACCTTGATTACCTTGAAGTGCCCGAGCATATCTGGTCCAGGTTGACCATTGTGAACAGAGAAGAATGGATTAGTGTGAACCCCACTCTGGGTATTAGATTCCAGGCCGCAAATGTTGGACATTAGTGGTGTGGGATGGAGTGGCCCTGATCCTTTTTGGAGCAATGAGGAAGTGCTGTAAAATATTCAACCCTTCCGCATCAGAAAAAGTCACTTGTACGCTTTTTTCTCCGCAATTTTGTTTTCCAGAGTGTTTTTTAAAAATTTTTACGTTGCCCCACACAGAAAGGCCAAGACTTGCATTACCAATCATTATTTTGTCCGCAAAAAAAGGGAATGCGTTATGTTACTTCGCGGGAGGGTTTGTTATTTTGCTGTATCAGAGCCAACCCATGCAAAAATTTATCCACAGCCCAGCAGGCCAAGCGCTGCAGAAATGGCAGGAAAATATCTCCTAGCGAAAGCGACCATGTGGGTCAGATATGTGCTTTTGATTACATTCACAACCAGACCGCATGGAACTTGCACACAAGGCAGCAAAGTACATGGTTTGCAGCAACTTGGTCCACATGCACGAACAATGCTTGCTTTGGTTTCACGTTTCATGTCAGTGGCTCTTGCAGCACATGAAAGCAAGAAAGGAGGTTCAGCTTGTGCTCTCTGGAAGGGAGCAATCCTGTGTATGACGTGCTTACTGGATTAGAACATGCACCACACAAGAACACCGAGCTTGTGGTCCTGCATGTGGCAAAGTCGCACACGATCGTGGATTATGGCACATTATGGTGTTGCAGTTCCCTGTCGCCTGATCAACAGTGACACTAATCCATACACGCATGCATCAATTCTTTTGTGCGGCCCCCTTTCACCACGTACTGCTCGGTCACTTGACCCCCATTGGGACCCATTCTACAGGCACTGTGCTCACATCCCAACGGCTGACACCGCTGTACACCATCCGGGCGGCCATACACGACTGGGCCTCTGCCCAGGGCATCAGCCTCGAGCGTGAAGCCCCACCCACTGGCAGGCCAGCCAGCCCCGGAGGCGGCTGCCTACCTGATGATGCGGCCACCCCGGCACAATCCCTGGACCAGTACGGCCCCCTGGATGATGCCTGCCACTGCCTGCCCATCGTCTCGGCGCAGAGCGTGTCAGCGTACGATGTGTCTGGCCTGTTTCGCCTGGTGCAAGAGCAGCGCATGCCGCAGTCATATGCGGCCCTGGTGCTGCTGCGGGAGATGACACGGCACATTGACACCATGAGGCTGAAGAAGGTCCGCAAGGAGATACAAGTGGATGTGCTGAGGGTGCTGCTGCGGCACACACAGTTGCAGGTGAGCCATGCAATTTTCTCTGGTCGCTGTCACAGTTGTTTGCCACTGTCACACTTGTTTGCTGAAGTCTGTGAGCCCAACGTTGTTGGCATACTGGAAATCCTAAAGCTAGACTACGCTGGTGGTAGTCTTCATCTTCTCCAGAATGGCCTGGAATGCACTGCCTTACAGCATGAATGTGCAGTCCGGAAGTTGTGTGTACACATTGTTGACACTTATTCTTTGTGAAATTTATGGTGCGATCTACTAACAGTGGCCTCTTTGATGGCTGCTTAACATGGTCCATGCATTCACACTGGATGCCCTTGTGGTGCAGGTGCCAGCGGCCCGGTTGTTGGTCCAGATGAAGGGCACCCTCCGGATGCAGGAGCTGCTTCCGCTGCTGAAGATGAATGACATGGACCTCAGACGGGAGGTGCTCACACGGGTGTTTGAGCATGGCTTCAGGTACAGGGGCAAGATGCTGGAGGTGGCAGACGCAGCAGAGTTAGCAGGCGCGCAGGAGATCGTCAACGTTGTCCGCACTTTTGTGGAGGATGGGGAGGGCATCAACATGAGCATGCAGGTGATGGTGCAACAGTGCCTGTCAAGTGAATAGTCATTCCAGATGATTGCCTTGTTGTGGGTCACCTGCAAAGACCGTAGGCAATCTATCTCTTTGGACACCATAATTGTCAGCGCACGTGTTGTTCTGATTGGTGACAAGGGTGGCTAGGGTGTAGAAATTACGCTTGCTTGCAGACCCAGCCTTTGGCTGCCTTCTGCACTTTTCTTGCTCTGCACCATGCCCTTCAGGGAATGGCCCTATTGTCCATACTGGATATTGTAGGGTGTCATAGGGGTACCAAACTTGTCCTTATCAATGGACCCTCCCAGGCTGCCTTGCCAGTTGCAAGTTTGCTCTCTGGGATTGCATGTTTCATACTCTTCGTGAGCCATGTTGAATTTTCTTTGCTGTGTTCAATATTGTCTACAACACTCTCGTTTTCAACGGCTGGTCGCGTGGGTATTAGTCAAAGGCTGTCATTTGGCTGACATCAGCACACATTGGCTTCCAGGCCTTGGCACATCTGCAAGTCGATGCTGCTTGTTGATCTCTTGGTCTTCGACCACAACCTCCACTAAGGTCTTGTCCATATCCCAAATAGCTGGCTCCCAGCAACAGATCAGCTTGAAACCCCTGTGTGTCAAGCTTTATCGAAGGGCAATATGAGCTAACGATGCTCAAACGCAGGTCCCACCAAAGGGCAGTGCCTTGTGTTAGCTTCCCTTGACTTGTCACACGAATGGTGGCGCCATTTGCTAAGTTTGAGGGATCTGTGGAGAGTTCTTGACACGGCACGTCACAGCTGCTTCATTCAAAATTGTGACGCACAAGCTTTGGTGTCCGTTCACGCGAATTGGAGATCAACCAAGACTTGAAATTGAGGCAGTGCGTGTTGATGTATCGACCATCTGTATGTTTCTGCGTCCATGCATTTTTTGTTTGGCAGGTTTTGTCTTAGTCTGCACTTCAAAACTTCCAACATAACATTCGATTGGGTTGGATTGGTTGTGGTTTGTTTAGTTTCTTGTGGCGATGCACTGGCTCTCTTCGCTCGCAGCATTTGCGCTGCTTACCTCGAACAAAACAGCAAGCTGATGGCCGCCTCCTTACAACGGCAAGGAGGCATGCCCTGCAGTGCCACCCGATCGATGTAAACGTTGGCTGCCTCCTTGCCTCTCTGAACATCATTTCCTGACCAAGACCTTTGCCCTCGAATTGTCGGCTGCAGGCTCAGGCAGGCGCCGCCCTAGTGCTGGCTTGCCTCGCCTACCGCGAGCGGCTGCGCCCCCTGCTGGCCGACCGCGCCGTGCCCGCCCTCGTGCACTGCCTGCAGCACTCCAGCGACCCCGGCATGCGTTACCCCATCGCCAAGGCCGTGCAGTACTTGTGCGAGAACAACGACGGCCGCAGCGCCGCGCAGACCGCGGGCGCCGTGCCCGAGTTCGTCAAGATGCTGCCGCCCGTCAACCCCGAGGTGGACTACTCGGACTTCGTGTTCGATGACTTTTTCGCGTTCGTGACCGTGCCGGACACCGCCCTCAAGGCGCTGTACCACCTCGCGCAGAACCCCGCCGCGCGGCGGGAGATGGTGGAGGCGGACGTGGTGTCCGCGGTGAGGGAGATGATCTCGATGACGCAGCTGTCGGACGACACGAAGACCAAGTACGCCAGGAAGCTGGTGGAGCTGCTGACGACGTCGCCGGAGTACCGTCTGCGGCGGCTGATGACGCTGCCGGCGGAGGCGTACCGGTCGCTCAGGCAGCAGCCCAACCCCCCGAGGACCGTAGCCTGAGCGGGCGGAGGCCGGCTCGGGCGCGTTGCTGGCGAATCGGTCGCTTGGCGCTTTTAGCGCCTTTTCTTTGCGCTTTTCCTTTGGCAGTTTGGTGGGTCTGGGTGGGGTGGCTTCGATCGCATTCTTGGCACCTTCGGGGCATTTTCCGTGCGCTTTCCTTGTCTTCGACAGTTTCTCGGATCTGGGCGAGGTGGCTTTGATCGCGTTCTTGGCGCCTTCTGAGCACCTGCTGTGCTGTCTCTTAATTAGGCAACCCGCATTGACTTGTTTTACACAGAGGTGTAGGATCGCTGCCCTTTCTTCTTCCTAGGTGTTGTTGCTTGCGTTCTCTAGAGGTTTTTGGTGTTTTGTTGACAGATTCTTGGCCGTTTATGAGCCAAAGAATAATGTGGGCACAATGATAGCCGTGTTGGCATGATGGCTCCGCTGTTGTTTACGAGGCGAGGTGGCCCATCATCGCATATGGGCAGTGATGCAAGATTGGATGTTTGCCCAGTCTTGCTCGTCTCAGATCATTATTTTGCTGATGGCATAAAGCAATGTCAGATCACATGCTGTTTTGGTTTGGGTTGAATCGCTTTGGATCAAATTGGTCTTGGGTACGGTTAGGGCGTGCAGCTATTGGAGACCATGACATTTTTGTGCACATATTCAAATAGCCAGTGACCAAGTATTGTGAAGCGCGAAGGATAGGTGGAATCGTGGGCTGGCCCCATCGGCAGTAGAAGGGGATGGAGGGCCAATGGTGGGCTTCCTGCAAGCTTGCGTGATGAATCACGAGATGGGCCTCATGGCGTGGACTGCAGAGGAGGCTCTTGTGGGCGCTGGGAGGGAGTCGCAGACAGTTGCGCGATAAAGAATTGCGCAGTGGGGACACTGCGGGCGAAGGTTATTTCTGCCTTACCGGTCTCCTGGGCCCACCCGGTCATGTAACCCCACGCCAAAACACTCACAAACTCACCACAAATCCAATGTACTGTACCCGGGTCCCCATCCGTCAAGTTCGCCCTTCGCTTTGCTAGTACTTAACGGAACACAGGGATTGACTCACCCCCTGAGCAAGCTCCCTAATCCCGTACTTCACTCCCCTCACTCCCTGTCCAACCCACAACTAAACGGAACACCACTCTCTAGGGCGGGAGGGCTGGGTCCAAACAAGATCAGGAGGGGGACCGAGGGGGAAGCCTAAATAGCCGCCCTCGCTCAGCCCTGCCAAAGCCTGCCAAGCCCGAGGGCGCCAAAATTGGTGAAACCTCGTATTTTCGCACTTTGACTGACCTACTGTAGCTACAGTGCTAGGGAATCCCAAGGGACGGGGGTTGAGTGAACCCCAGATTCAAACTGCGCTGTTTGAATCACCGGCGCAGCCCACCCGTCGGTCTCTTGGCAAAAGCCCACTAACAGGATAGTTAATTTCATTGCTGGTTGAGCTTTGGGACAGCAGCCGGTGTGGAGTGAATGCGAAAAGTTTAGGCTGTTTAACGAGCATCAGAATTTCGACGAGCTTGTTGTGGAGTGTGGCAGAGTCCATGAAATGCCGGACTGCGGCAGCCAGCGCCAGAGCCCCTTGGCAGTGGTCTCCGCAGTCCACTTGTATCGACTGACACACCATTACGCGAGTGATTCAGCCATCCAGCCGAAAAAAGAAAAATGCATGGGTGGCCTGCGTGGGTGCTAGGCACTGTGCGGCAAGTGGAATGTTACCGAATCGCAACGGCATGGGCTGTGCTCTGCAGCGGCAAAAATTGGCACATATTACAATGCACGTGTGCTGCGCAGTATTACGGATCGGTACAGGTTCAGCACGGCTTATCCCAGCGGTGCACTGTTTGTCACCAAGTTTGCTTTTGGTTAAAGAGAATGTTGCTTGTCAAATCACAGGCTGTTTGAGCATGGACAGAAACTCAGCGACGCGGGCAACTGTTTGCAGCAGCGTTTGAATGTTACAGTTTCTTGAAAATGAAGGGGAAATGCGCAAGAGTACGCCTGCCTGTTGCCAACGTTGGGCAGGCCACAACTCCATGCTGTTTTGCGAGCCCTGCGCGGCCATTGCAGGAAAGGTTGTTTTCCACCAGTGGGCGCCTAGTTGTTAAATATTCATGCACATCTCCATATTGCTCCATGAGATGACCGGAAATCTACGCCCCTGCACGTACTTGGGCAACATCCTTCATGTTTCGCAGTGTCACAATGCTATGATAACACTAAAAGCACAACAAATGACCATCAAGATGCTCCAACGCTATTGCCGCGGGACGGATTAATGTCTTCGTCCACCTGCAAGTGGTTCATTGTCGCACGTCGCTTTGCCGCTGCACACAGGCGCCATTCAATCGCATCCAGATCGGATGCGCAGATTGTCCGCAACTCGAATCCATCCATGCCTTCTCAAGCCATTTGGCGATACTGAAGCTTTTCTGAAACCTGTTGTGTATTCAGATGCATTCGACAATTGCCAGTGACACCAAACGGGACTGCCAGCCCGAATGGACTTGCATGTGTCGCGCGCATTGAGTGAAATTTCTTTATGACTGTGAGGCGCTGCTCATTTCTTTTTCATTGCGACGCACTTTTTTTGTCCCGAGGCATTTTCGATTCTGGCAAGCAGCTGATTTGGGATGGCGTTGACGGTACAAGTTAGCAGAGATCGCCAAGCAGCAATCAAAGTTGGCTTCACATATCAACAGTGAGGCGATATCATCCGCGTCCACTCTTGTCCTTCTATTTTTTGGATTTCGACTTTCCTTTCTTTTTGCCCCCCTTCGCGCTCTTTTCTTTCAAAAGTTCGTAGACTTGTGACGTGAGCGCCCTGTCTGCCCTTCCTGCCAGCCGCATCGATTTCAGGTTTTTGCTGACCGTCAGCATCGGAATGAACAAACGGACGCCTGGGTCCCCTGGGAAAAGGAACGCTGCCACCGCAACGTTAGAATGCCCCGCCCAGCTCGCAAATTCATGATCGACTCGATACTATGTCAAAAAACGTTGTCTTATTGAATTTTGAGAATTCCCGAAGTTCGAAAATTTCACTTCGTTGTGATTGCACTTTGTATCTCGAAGGGGCCAAGGCGTGTGGCTCAATCGCGTGCTTTGGTCGAATTTAAAACAATGGCAACGCAAACGCAACGCTGTTCAAATAAACAGACATTTATTATTAAATGATATTGTTTCACCGTTGCAGTTTTCCAGTTTGGCGCAAGCGAGCAATTCGAAGGACAACGAAAACACTGAGTTTAGGAATTCGGAGAGTTGGGTATTGCACAGTCTTTTGGTGCCATTGGCAACACAAACCCGGTAGCGAGTCAAATTCGTCATCCTGTTGGAGTTAACTTTGCAGAAGTGTTGACGATGCCGAATGAGATCCATTGAATTTTTGCAGATAACAATATGCCAACACGGAGGGGCGTGTGACATGTGTCGCGTTGTAAACCTTCCGCAGGGATTTCCCCCTCATGTACATCACAGGTGGATCACAGAAAACGGCACTTAAATATGGATTACGACCACTCAGTCCGCTGCCGTTTCATACCGGAACTTGCATGACTAGCTCACAGATTTTAGGCACCCAAATCCATTCAAAGATAGGCACGAAATGTGGGTAACGGAAGCTACACGGCGGCGCATGTAATACAATCTGCGTATCCCTTGGGAGCGAGATCCTTTCGCGGCTACCGTAGTATATTCAATCTTTCCGCATCAAACAATTTTACTCTTACACATTTTGATCGGGATGCTTTTGGAGAGCGTCTATTTACTTTTTACGTTGCTGCACAAAATTTGATTAAAAAGGTGCTATTATTTCTCCGGGAGAATGCCAAATTTAGCGCTACTATGCGGAAGGGTTGAACATACTACGATACTTTCCGTCCTGCCGAAATTGCGCAAATGTATCCGAAGACTGCAACAAATCTCGCTGCTTCGATTAACAGCTCGCACGGCACATGCTGTGGAAACTGTAGAATTCATCAGGGGACGATATGGAAGTTTATGAACAACTTGTTCTCGTCATTGAACACATTCACGGGCAATTGGCACTAGAGGAAACATGCCAGATGACACGGTCTGCTGAAAATCTTACCATTTCATATGGTCAAATGTGGTCCCACATTCGCGCGGTTAATGCAAACATTGCCATGTGCCAACTATGTACTGCATGGCTCCTGAGGGTACACGGTTGAAACTGTGTCCCACGCAGGGCAACGTGTTGAAAGACGGCAACTCACTCATCTCTAGACAGATGGCTTCAGACATCCAAGGCAGCAGGACTTAGCCACTTCAGTGCGCAGACTGCGGCTGGATCAATCAATTTTCGGTTTAGGGTTTATCAACAACATTCTGCAGCTGTGTGTCGATGAAGCACTGCTTGTGAATTGCAATTTACCAAAGTCGATTCAGCAATTCAGAGGCACTCACGCTGCAATTCTCAACATGAACGACCATTGCTGGATATGTAGATCCAGAAATGGCCGCTCATGTTGTCAATCACGTAATTGTGCTGTCAATGTCATTTTCGAAGGCAGGCAGGATCGAGGGGTGGCGATCCCTGAACGGAAATCGTACGCTCGAGTTCACGGCATCGGTTTACAGCCGAGGCAAAAGGACAACAAGCGTTCTGTCCTTTATATTCAGTCCGTTCAACAATGTCTTTAATGCAATTGTTAGTGTTTCATTATTTTTTCATGCAATCAGTTGTTAATAATACTTAATCAGTTATAGTCACCACAGAATCACCATTTTCGCCGGAGAAACTGCCCATACATATTGAATAAATATTGCGAATTTGCAATAGCCTACATCCATGCCAAGATGGTGTCCCTGCCAACTGGTAGTGTGTTCAATATGATGTCCCTACCGATATGGTTTCCACTGAAATCGACCTCCACCAGCGACTTGTTGACGGCGAGAGCGTCGGCGAAAATCTGCAGGGCGTTGGCGTCTGACTCGGCAACTTCAATGCACGCCAAATTTATGGATTTTATTGTCTGGCTCTGGCAAATTCCTGCACAGGCCGTCGCACAAGACTTAGTGTGTGGCCAACTCTCCATGCTTGCCAACACTCGTGGCTTCAGAAGCGTTGTTGCTGGAGCATAGTTCTACGTTTTCGTAGTGTGTTAATGGCTGTGGAGTGAAGGCATTTAACAGTAATAGACTAGAAGACTGCCATGACTGTGATGATCGTGCCATGTGCCACAGAGTAATCATAATACAAAGCACGGGCGAGACATATGTGTTAGGCAGATTTGCTGACATCTGTGATGGAGCATTGATTTAGTTATAATAATTGAATCAATGCTCCATCAGCATGAGTATGTGCTGTACCACACAAGTTTTTTGCGCTGATGTAGTAGTTCTAGCGTACACCTCAGCGACGTATTGTTAATATGCACACTCAGTGCACGTTATTCTATGAGCAATATTACCGCATTTAATTGATTAACTCCTGAATACAACGTATTGCGTGATACTACGCATCTGGCGCGAATAGAATTTCATGAATCCCCCAGTCGGGTGCCGGACGCAGATCACGGCTCTTGGGTTACATTAAACTCAAGAATAGGGCCGTTTTAGAGAAGCCGTATTTTGATTCATCGAATCTCATTGAATGAAAAAAATTATTAATAAAAATATTATTGAATTGCTTATGGTCCTTGCTGTTTAAAATAACACTTTTCGCAAAATGAGATTGAGGAATTTCAGAATCGCGGTGACAGAAGGGCACACAAATTCCCCCGCACGTCAATGGACGAATCGAATCTGAACACCAGTTAGATGATCAGATTTGATTCCATTAGGCTGATGAGCTTAATTAAGTTAGGTATATAGGCCACGCCGCGGCGAAAAGAGAGCTTTGCAGTACATTCGCAACTGGGGTGTCTCAACCATCCAACTGGGCAATGAAGCGTCATGCAGATCCGATTTGGAAATGCAAATAAATTAGATTCAAGTGCGATTCCAATGCAATGGAAATGAAATATGACTGTGGTTCAAACGCAATTTGAGCGAAACGCAAATGTGATTCAGACTCAATTCAAGCGAGATCAATGGCAAATGTGATTCGGGAAGACGACATGTCGACACATGATATGTTATATGATTTGGTACGCTTAGCGTCCATTTGACTTTAAGTCCAGGAATACCCCTCCCAAAGAGCTTTGTGGGGTCTTCCTTTGAGTTCGTTTGCTGTTGTATCTCCTGGTGCGCTTCCTGTGGGTCCGTTGGTTTTCGCACCATGGTGAATATTGAGCACGATCTGTGACCAACACTGCTTTCTCCTGTTTTCTTGCCTTGTGTTGTTCCGGGGATCCGTCCTATAGCGCCTGAAATATTGGCGGAAAGAAGGGGATTCGCCTCGATAATTTGTAACATCATCTTGCCCCTTCCCATGAGGCCAACCTGCATGTAGATTCTATGATGACTCCGAACCATTTCATAACGTATGTAGACAATTTATCAATCTGTTCAAAAGACATAAATTGAAGCGATTGTCATGGGCTGATAGGCGGGATGAAAAATGCCATTGCGGGTGGCAGTGGCAGCCTAGATAGCTGGCTATTGAGGTATTTTGAGGCGCTCATTCCAGCTTGAATGCACGAGGGAGATTTTGGAACGAGCCATGAGCTTTCTGCCGCTGATCCTCCGCGCTTTTGTGTGTATTCCCACCTTGTGCCCATTTTGTGGTAATTAATATAGTAATTAGCTATTAGCAATTCAACCAAATTGTGTGCACCAATGCGTAGCAAATTCGACATAGCGCCTTCCATCAGTGCTTGAAATCGAAGAATCTCCCACCTTCGCAGAGATTCACCAGCCCTTGGGCGGCAAGGGGGTTGCCTTGAAGGTTCAGGCTCTCGAGTTTGGGGCGCAGCTCGCCGTCGCCAGGGGCGCCCTCCCCCGCCACGATGGGTCCAAGCAACTTTGGCGCGAGCTCCCTCAGGCCGCAGTGCGCCAAGCTTAGCCGTTTCAGCGAGGCGCACCTAACCGCCAGAAAGCCGTTAAATTTTGTTTTCAGTACTCAAGGCAGATTGCTTCACGTGAACACGCGAGTGAACCATCCTGTGCGTTTGCGCAAAAGGACCGGCGGGCGCGTTTCTGGCAAGTGCCTGGTGTATTTTTGGCTTTATATGAATTCCGATTACGAGAATTTCGTTTGTTAATGGAGAGGAAACGAAGCCACATTGCGCTGCCACAGTTCTGCATCTCGCCATGGTAAAGTCCTCGTGGAGAGATATTGTATAGTGCGTAGTGGTCAGCAGTGTTCAGCCCTCAGTTTCCGAGCTTTCACGAAGGAGGCTCCTTCATCAACGCCCTGGATTTTTTCAAGACTTTGTTTTGCCGCAGATCTCGTGAGCACCACTGTGCTCCCGCTTTCACGCTCCAACAACAGCGATTGCGAAAAGCGGCTGCAAAATTAGACACCTCAACAATGTTTTTATTCATTAAGCATTGGACTTCATAAAAGCTAATTCCTGTACTCTCTTGCTTTTGCCCTCGTCGCATTTTCCTCCCAAAGTCCCGCTCTTTGGCTTCAACCACGCTAGCCCATTAGGTATTTGACTACAGTCCGTCGCCAAGGAGCTGTGTTCGAAGGGGTGGCTCCCGGAATCAGTTACCAGTTGCGCCTTTTCAGCGCTGTCAAACATTGCAAATGCAACCAATCACTTCGCGCCCCCACCTTCTTAGCCCCGCCGCCAGTGCGCTCATCCCCTCATCCCCGACCAAGTTGTGGTCCAGAACCAACACGCTCAGCTCCAGCCCCCGCACTCCCAGAGCCAGGGACAGGCTCCGCAGCGCATCCGGCCCGAATCCCGGTGCGAATCCCGGTTCGCACCCCGGTCCAAATCCATGTCCGAATTCAGATCCTCCCACCTTGTGCTCGCTGCCGTATCCGTCGATTTCGTTGAACTCGGTCCCGCCCCATTGCTGGCCGTCCGTCGCCGCCGCCCGCTCTCTCTCCCGCGCGTGGGCGAGCAGGTGGTTGGGCGGGCAGGGCTGGCCGACGTGCGGCGCCGTGCCCATGACCCAACTGGGCATGCGCATGCCGCGGTTGTCGGTGACCAGCCCCGTGGCGCCCGACAGCATGAGGGCGTGGCGCTCTTGCCTCGCGCGGGCGCACAAACGCGTCAGTGTGTTGTGTCTGAGCTGCTCTGGGTGAATCTCCAAGACATCAATTGGGTATAATTGTTGATCACATTATACTGATGTGACCAACGTTGTTTCAGAAAAAGTGGCACAAGTTGCTGCCTCACAGAAATCCGATGTACCGCTCTTCCCTGAGAGCCCTTTCAGGGACCTCCTGGGATCGAATCCCCTGGGATTTTGTCTGTGCACCGGCAGCGCATGCTTATTTGAAGATTTCGCCATTCCATCTTGCTTTCGAAAATGCGAACATCTCAGGCATTAGTGAAATTCATGAACAATAATGAATGCATTCGGAATGTATTCATGATTGATCAATAAGTCAACGCACTAGAATTGGCAAGTCACCATTTCTACGACTTTTCAGCATTGATTAAATCCCTACACTTTTGTTTAGGCGGCAATGAGTCACAGGTTATCTAATTGGCTAAAAGACCAAGTAACTACCTTACAGGTAAATAATAAATCTTCAAACAACTAATTCACAAAGCATTGAAAACAGGAAAGACAATATTTTTGGAACAAATGTAATAGTTAGTGTTTCCACCTCGTTGATTGGAACTTTGAGACACGGATGAATTACGTGTAAATGGACAAAGTTCCGGTGATGTCAGTGAAGCGATCACAAGAACTGACATTTAATCCATGTGTCCAAGTTTTGGTCATGTGTACGTGTACCCGACATGCCCTTTTCGATTTGGCCAGCAAACACCACACGTGTGTGCACATGCGCACTGTGCGCCGCTCACAAGAGATGAATCGGAATTAGTGAATCGCAATAAGCCGCAATAATAATGAATCGCAATAAGCCGCTGCCCGCAGGTCGATGTCCAGCAGCAGTCGCGGCATGCCCGCAAATCCGATGATCGCCCAACGCGACAGCCGGACATCGATCATGGGTGGATTTGCCGACCGGCGCAAAGTGTCTCCTTCGCTGAACCTTCCCATATCATAACGCCCAGGCGCCCATCAAAACTCGCACCACTGGTCACCCGGGTAGCCCATGCCGTCATTGGTGATTTCCAGCAGCCTCAGCTTGCTCCCCTTCCACCAGCGATCGGCGCTGGACCTCAGCAAGTCGCATATGGCCAGGATGCCCTGCGCAATGTACAAGCGAAGATGTCGCGACGCACTTCGAGCGATTCAGACAGGTGTAAGCAAGCGCTTCACGCACGCAGCACCCCGATGAAACACACTTCCACGGCGATCACCTGCGCTTTTGCATCCCACTACATGCAGTCCATGCCTCGCACGTTATAACATTACACTTAAGTACATACCCTTACTTCCCGGTATTATTATCCACCCCCTATTAGCATCCACCCCCTTCTTTGGGGATTGAAACCGTGTTAGTATCCATGACCCGGTATTAGTACCCACCCCAAAGCCCAGCGAAACAAAAACGAGGGAAGGCGCTGACAGTGGCAGGGAATTCAGGCGGCTGGTGTTGGGCCGCGTTGCCCAGTGTGGGCCAAGCCGCGTTCCCTGCGGTTTGCGCGTCGATGATGACGATCGGGTCGGTGTGGATGCCGTTGAGGGAGAATTTGGCAGGAGGCCCACGAAAGGCCGCGGGGTTGACTGGATGCCGTCGGGGTTTTAGGCACAGGATCGCGGGGCGACGACCGACGCCACTGGGTCCGGTCCAACAAGCGATCGAGAAATCAAAGCCGCCCTGGCTTAGATTGAGTCAACCTGCTCCCCAGGCGGCCAGAGCGGGTTATGGTGACGCCTGATAAGGGCGCCCAAAGGCCCAGCGCCAGGAACGGGCGACGGCGCTGGTCAGGCCGGCCGCCGTTGTGAGACAACACCTCGCAAGCTGGCTTGGACACGCCGGGGAGCCGCGTCGCGACGACGGACTTGGCCCCTAGCGCTTTCACGGGGCTGATCCTGGCCTGGATAGCTGAAGGGATCTGTGATTGGCCAATTACGCAACAAACTCATGGGTTTGTGGCACTGCAGCTATGCGAACTGGGGGTGGGCCCTGCCTTTGCGGCGTTTTGCGGGCCATGTCGCTCATCTTTCTTCGCACCGCGGAGGCAAGCGCGCCTCTAGCAGTCCAAGGGACCCCTGCTGGCCCCAATCGCCAGTCGTCCCCACCTGGTGCAGCCCCAAGTCCAGACCGCTGGCTCCCGTGAAGAGGCTGAAAATTTTCAGTAGGAGCATTGTCGCTGATAATATGGTCTTGTCAGTAGTGTGGTGTTTGTGATTTGCATATTGGATTAGGTGGTGCTGCTTCCTATGCATTGCATCTTACACTACTTCAAGCCCATTTCTGAGGCATTTCAAGATCTATGTTTCAAAATTTTCTTTTTCTGCTCCCTGGATTAGGGGTCTAAACTGCGTTAGTACCCATGACCCACTATTAGTACCCACCGCTCATTTGTTCGGTCCAATACACGCCTACTAATACCGGGTAAACACGGTATATCTACCTATCTATACATATGCATTTACATTCGCATTTGAATATTTACATGAGTTTTGGTGCGCGCGTACATTGTGGACGATGGCAATGATGCATTTGAGCAACCCAGCTGCTGATTTCGTTACCTTGCCGCCGATGGAGCACCCCCAGAAGCAGAGGTTCTTGACATCAGGGAATCCAGCGAGAGAGTCCGTGGTCGCGCGAGCCACTGGCCATCCCACGTCGGGGCCTTGGAAGCACATCTGGTGGGAAGCCGCAGCGAAACCATTTTTGGAGCACAGGCGGCGAAGTCTGGCCATTCCCGTCAACGGATTGCTACATGTCATGAATGGAGCAGGTGGAATGTTCCCCAAGCTTACCGCACAAGTGCCGAAATTCAGCATTTCAAGTATGTGCCAGCGTATTAGTTCTGCAGGAAAGCCAAGCCAAGAAGACCAGAAAAGGAAGAAATCGCGTTTTCTTGGATTGTCCGGGTTTTTCTAGTGCCCGTTTCGCGTGCCATGAGTCCGCACGGCATATATATATATACATATATATATATATATATATATATATATATATATATATATATATATATATATATATTAATATACTATGGTCCATGCAACAATTCAGTGGAACATTTCCGTCTTGGGATCCTAGTGCGCTTTCTGATGCATGTGCTGCGTGCGTGGGCTCGTGCGGGTCATAGGGATTGAGGGTTGGGACTGTTTTTTCTGCTTTGCATTTTCTGAATGCACTCCATGGGGATTTCGTTAATCACGGTAATTCATTGCATTTCATGCGATAAAGGGATTGCGCACGAATCGGGGTTCTGGAATTGTGCGGCCATGGGACCATGAACAAGTGATTCTGAACAAACAATTCGTTAGGTTTTCACGCCCATCATCGCCTATCAGGTGCAAGGGGTGTGTTTTGCCGTTTCATGGCAAATGTAATCGATGGATTTTGATGATGATGATGATGATGATGATGATGATGCGTTTCTGGTAGACTTATTAAGATGGATCGGTGCCGGCGAAGCGATGTAATTGCAAATTGCACTGATCCTGATGCCACCAGCATTTAACGCACAGCACCGCCAATTATTCAAGTTGAATTCTTGGTGGGATGGACCATGGTGGAGGGCGCGGTGCTCTCGAGAATGCCAATGTTTTGCACGAAAGGTTGTAAGCGGCTCCCTCTCTGGCCAAAACCGAGACTTTCACACGCACGGTCCCTCCCAGCCACGGCGAGCCAAGCCGCAACCAAGTTCATAAGAGAATGGGCGGTCCAGCCAAATGGCGTTCGCTGCAAACATGCCCATTCCGTGTCTCCATTTTACCAATGCACACTCCACCACAACTCGACACCGTATTCTTCATATCGATTTGCACGACAGACGCCATAGACGATACAATCATTCACTAACATCTTCCTCGTCCTCGCAATCATCATCACCATCATGACCATCATCATGAGTTCTTGCACATCAGCGCGATAAGGCAGCCATCAGCTCCCCTTTTCGCCCAAGCAGGGCAGACTCCATGATGCAATCAGTCACCTTGGTGAGCGCCTTGGCTTCGTCCCTGTGCTCTTCCACCAGCTTGAGGAGGGGCTTGTAGGGCGCGCAGCCATGTTTCTCAAAGGCCGCCTTGAGGGTGGGATGCAAGGCCTTCAGGCGCCAGACGGCCTCCACTGCAGCGTCGGCGTTTTCACGTGGTAAGGGAAAGTCCAACCAGCTGACATCGGTATTTGATAATTGGCTGAATTATTGAATTTGTAGTGGAAGCCGATGGCACATTTGCCTGAAATCTCAAAATTCTTTGAATATTGGATTTGTGTTTAGAAGTCGAAAAGTTTTGTCTTCGTTTACGGTCGCCATTTGTCTCCATTTGAATGATGACTTTGTGTTCAATGTCCGAATGTTGGTCAACAACTGTGGCCATTGGCTGATTAAATATTCGGGTTGCAATCTGGAATTCAGGAAAGAAACAAAAAACAATGAGGTTTCGATTTCACCTATTTCTTGTCGCCCAAATGTTAGTCATAAAAGAAGACCAAACAACAGAAGAAAGGAGCACTGAATCACTGTGCAATGTGTACAACTTCAGTAATAACAACAAAGGCCTCGCCTCGGTACATTAAAATAAACATCATAGCGACGCGTTCAATGTACTTTGATTGCTGATCTGCCAGGGCCCTCCCGGAGTGCCGAACTTCACTTTTTTCGTTCTTGAGACTGAGCATTCTTTTGGAATCCAACAAATTTGGGCTTTGCATCGCCTGGCACGCTCTTGCTAGGTGACACAAGGCCCACATATCTTCTGATAGGACTTGGGAGGCACCTGGGCATTGAAATGTGATGTTTTGGAATCCAAGAAAACAACCAAGGTTTGATTTGGGGTGATTTATGCCCGTCGATGACAGCATTTCGCGAAAGGAATTTCTAAGACAAAGGGTGTCCGATGCGCTCCGATCAACTCCCAGCGTTGAACCTCCACAACTCTCGGTCGAATATGGGCTTGACTATGTTGAC